TTCTCAGTTGATTTATGAGCTCAGAGAATATTTTAGTGAACTGTTTATCTGGAATACGAGATCGTGTGTGACCGAACTCGAGGCTTCAAAGCGATTCTCCACAAACCGATGGGTGACACTGTTTGGATCTCTGACAAGTGAGGTCCAAAAACCTGCAATTACCGCTTATCGCCACAGGTGCCGCCAAAGAACAAAACAGAGATTTCCAAGATTTTTAATTTATATTTACACGTCTTACAGTTGTGTTTGTTTCTTTTTCTGAATGCAGCTCAGAGCCGTGGATACAACAACAGGGGAGTTTGGAACAGCTGCCCTCTCTGTTCAGGTCATACCTGGTAAGATCGCCACTGTTATTCTCTGTGATACTGACTGTTAATGACATTATATAATAAATTATAATGAAAACGTTTAGCATTATAATATGGTAATTACTAATTTTGACTTCCAATTATTTTGTTATTTAAAGTTATTTTGAAGGTATTATGCTGATAGTAGCTTTGTGAAACTCATTTTTTGCATCACAAATTTTATTTTCACTGAAATCACTTAAAATCATTATGATGTGACATTTTTGGGGGGTCTGTAAATCTGGAGGAGAAGATTTATAGGTCAGGGAATCTCTTCAGAACCACAGAATGTCATTATGATGCTGTTTTGTCACATTTTATCTTTATCAAAAAACTGCAATTTGAACTTTGCACTTTGCACGCGTTTTGATAATATGCTGTGCAGCCCTAGTTATTACCCCATTAATGTTAGCATTTTAAATCCAAATATTTCACTGATATAACATTTTTATTGTTAGCAGGTTAACATATTGTTACCAAAATATTATTATTAATAATAGTTTTGCTGTTTTTAAATGTTTCCCTGCTATTATTCTTTGTTTTTGGCCCGTTATTACCCTGTTACATACATTTCAGTCTAATATTACCCAGATATACCCATACTGGTTATTACTTTGGTAATTACATACATATCTCTTTCTTATCAAACCCCACTTTTACCATGTTATTACCAATCTATAATGTAAAATGCTACTGATATACTGATTGTTAACATCATATAGCTACAGTGAAAAGCTGGAACAAGATTATACAGATCATATGTATATGATACAGATGGGAGGCCTGCCCTCTAATGGTGCCTCTCTGGAGAGAGATAATCCAAACTATCCAGGAGTGGCTAGGTAGGCTATACTTGTGCAAGTATTCAATTCAATTCAGTTCAATTCAGTTTTATTTGTATAGTGCCATTTCATAAGAAAAGTTATCTCAGGACACTTTTCAAATAGAGCAGGTCTAGACTGTACTCCTCATAAAATTATTTACAGGGACCCAACAGTTCCCACCATGAGCAAGCACTTGGCAACGGCGGCAAGGAAAAACTTTCTTTTTAAGCAAACCTCGAGCAGAACCTGTATCAGTTCAGCTCTTGGCAACTCATGTTTACCCAAGATCTCCAAGCTTGCATTTGCCCTGGCACTTACAGGCTTTATTTCAGTTGCTAGGGTTATCCTCTGTAACCGGAAAAGCCAGGTTAGACCTGAATATAGACAGTGGGTTAAGGTGATGACAGAGACAACATAAATGGACCTGCATAACTGTAAACAATCATATTTACTTGTCTGAGCTGAGTTTTTGTCTTTTGTAAAAGGAGAAAAATAGAAGCCATAGTCATAGGAGCCAGACAGTAGTTGAGGAGTTTGTACCTATATACTCTGTATTTGTATGTCTCTCTTTTAGTTAATATTATGAATATTCAGTGTATCAACGTACAGGTGGATTGAGTGGGCTTTTGTTTTTTCTTTGGTTGTGCCACAGGTCTTTTTGTTTGTAGTCACTTGATGACTCCTTCAAGGACTGGTGCTAGGCTGACAGAGTTTTGATTTTTTTTTTACTTTCTTTTCTTTAATAATAATCTTGATAAAATTGCAAATATTAACCCTTAATAACCCACAATGATTCCATTTGAGCATTAAAATTCATTCTGGACATGAAACAAATTGTAGTTTGACTAAATCTTCCCTCAAGGCTGACTTACTGTACTAGGTGTGGTTCTGGAGCTTTCAACTGCATCTGAAAGTCTGCATCAGGGAATGGTTTTATACTTAGGTCATGTTTTAACAAATGAGCTCCATGGCAACTGAGAAAACGCTATACAGTGGTGACGACTGTGAGATGCTGTTAAAAGGAAAACCTTGAAGTGGACCTTGAGTTAGGATCAGTTTGTAGAGGACTTGCTTAAAATTAGCACAATCGGATGGAAATTAGTTGGGTTTTGCCCAGTATAGGTGGGTTTTGAAGGCTTATATGCACAACAGTCCAGCTGCTTAAAGCTAGTATTCAGTATAACATTTTACCATTTTTATTAAAAAAAACTCCTTTAATTTGTTCTAGTATGTTAGTATTTTTACATTATATAAGTAAATATTAAAGTTTTATTTTAGAATATCACAAAGAAGAAATAAAGCAGTTTGAATGTTGCATGCACCCCATTCATTGATGGTATAAATGCTAGCTACTGGATGTTATATGCTGGATCTATACTTTATGTATGAAACAAGGTGAGTGCATAGAGTGTGGGTGGCTGTGTGTGTGTGAGACAATAGCTAAGCCCTCCTGTGGTCCGGCATTCAGCATCAGCTGAGCCCATCTTGGAGAATCCATTCACACAGTAATTAAATGTTTTCAATCAATGTTCTGAATCATCTTTTCAAACTGCTTAAGGGCAATTAAATTACCCCCAACAAACCTGACTCTGGAGATGAGGGAGAGCGCGAGCAAAGAGCCACAGGCAAAGACAGCAAATATTTTCTGCCTATGACAAGTGCTCTCACCATTCAAAAGCTCTTTGTTCCCCGCTTTGCCAGCGCTAAACAGCAAACACTTCTGGGAATCTGGGCAAGCCACATCTATGCTCTCTCCATCTGTACAAGCCACTGCATGAATGTCGGTCCCGCCATCGAATGATAGACCCATCCATTACGCTTCTTTTGAATGCCATTAGTGGACAATGGAGGAGGATGTCTTTGTTAAAATTGGCTTTTGTCAACCCTAGAAATTTAATTAAGTGAATTTATTGGAGGGAAAAAGGCCAGTTTGAAAAACGCTTGTACCCTTACAGATAAATAGGTACTGCAGATAATTTGTAATTGTGACATTTTTTTCATTAAAACGTCAGTGTTGCTATTCAAATTCCGCCAAAGGACAGCATCAGTATGGCCCTGCAGACCCACAAAGTTGATTGATTTTTACATCCAAACCTGCCATTCTTCTGAAAACACACAATCTACAGGCTACATATGTAAGCTCAAGCCTTTAAAAACACTTTTATTTAAAGATAGGTGAATTAGGGATGAATCACTCTTGCTTAAAATCTGAATTTTTACAGGAAGAGACGACTGTATTGAGCTTTAGCACCTGATATCACCTATGGTAAACATTACATTCGGTCAGATATAAGCTCTAAAGACAGCATCTCTTTTAATTAAATTTCATTTTTGCCAGATGATGATCACTGACCAAGTCATTATTGGCTTTTTTTTATCGACACTTCATCTCTAGCCACACTATCTGCAGACACATCACAGTGATGGAGCACAAACATGAGGCTGACTCACTGGGGTTGAACAGCAGGAGGAATTTCAGACAGGCGATCTCTCTGCGGTCCACCTGTAGCGCCCGCAGCCTCACCGCCAGCTCCTGACCTCTCTGGACCAGACTGGACAGAGTCGCCTCAGCTTGGGATGCGATGAACGACAGCTCGACCTGAAAACACAGGCTACTGGTTATTTTTTTTATGTCCCTTATATTCCTAGACACTACTCTTCTCTCCTGTATTTTTGGTTATATGAAAGGAAAAATTATCCCTCGATACCAGTTGAAGTGTGGAGGGTACATGATGCTTTAAGCCACATATAGAGTGTGTCACTAATCATTTTAAAAGGATATCTCTACCTTTCTCAAAATTAACCCTTTCATGCAATAAATAATGCTGTGTGTTTTTATTACTAAATATATCTTTTGATTGTCTATTCTGGTGGACAACTGTAAATAAAAAAAACAATTATTAAATGCTGTATAATGTAAAAAACTATAAATTATATATTTTTTATACTGTTAAACTATTGTGTTATATATATTTTTACATATTTTGTTGTTCAATGCAAAAACATTGAATATATTGATTGATATTTATAGATATATTTTATATATTTATATGAATATAAACACGCTGTTACTCATATAATTTGCACGAAATATTGTTTTTGCTACAAATTGATTTACAGTGCTTTTCACTTACAACAAATTTACAGTAATAGTAATTGTGGCTGAAATATAGCCAGTGATGTATCATGTCCAATTTAGTTCTCCCAATATACACATAAGACTTGGAACAATACATGCCTCTTACTCAACGTAGTTGTTACTTGGTGTTACCAAATTTTATTTACCTGCAAGTGTCTCCTACTATAGATAGATTGGCAAGATAATTCCTGAGCTGCTTTTCGGTTTGCCATCTTGGTTTTGAGAATTTTCTGTTGCCCTTTCAATAGCTGGCCATTGGGGGGAGTGTATGGGATGATGGCTGATGTGCAACTATACTATCAAAACCTTGAATAGCTGTCCACTGTAGTGAGCAGTATGTTTGAAGTTTGAAGTTGATTAATTTAAAAGATTTAGATTTAACTTTAAAAGCTAATTTTCATATGCAAGAAAACTGATTTCCAGACATGGCCTTGTGATGCTGTAATGATCATTATTATCATGTCAGTTGATAATGTGCTTCAGTGCTGCATCTTCTCTAAACAAATGTTCAATTAAATTAGCACCATCCAGTTGACACATAGTTTGGGGCCCCTGGCATTCTGGGGGCTTTGGGAACACTGCAATCCAACCTTGCTCATAAGGCACACATAATGTTGCCCTAAATGTGTTCATTAAGGCATCGGCAAATTGTCCTTGTTATTAGGCTATTTAACATTATATTAAAACTTACATTACATTATTAAATAATTGTCTTCAGGAATTAATTTACCTCATTTAAACAATTTAACTAGCAGCATGGAGGCCTCTCCATCTTAAGACTGATATGCTGATACAGTGGTCATATACCATATGACATGCCAGTCCACCTCTTATATTCTATTCTGTCTATTCATGAAGTGCAGTTAATGTAAATCAATTTTTCATTTTAAGAGTATTAATGCATTCCAGAGTTCCTTCCACTGAATAGGCGTGGTGGGTCAGCATGCCATGCAGAGCTACTGACGCTACAAGAATTTCACTTTTATCTGTTTCAGAGGCTGATAAAATACACAGGGCTACATGTAATTTGTGGCATGAAAATAACCAAATTTGAAATGTTTTGGTGCAAAATATGGACTATCAGTCTAAAGACATCCGCATTGCTCCTGTATCAACCTTCAAGCCATACAAGTGACATTACACATTTAACCACATTTTGAATAAGGCAGACAACAGGGAAGTAGTGTGAGGGAGTTGTTACCTCCTGGCCGGTCACAAGCAGGATACTGTCTTCCTGTCCATGTTGCACTTGTCTGAAAATGTGATCCAGGACCAGAAGTTCAGACCAGCAGTTATGGAGCAGCTTCATTTGATCTCCAACCTCCAGGAAACACACACACAGAGGCAGATAAAGAAACAGACAGAGAAAAAAAAGGCATTATCTTAAAACCCTTTCCTTGGGTTACTGAAAATCCTGATCGATATACTTTCAAACCTGCACACAGTCCTGATTATTCTACTGATATTGTGGGATATATGTTCATATTGTATGGGAGAAATCAATATCCTTTTTTCAATGTATTTTTAATTTTATTTGTTCATAATGGTGTATGGAAACATCCCATATAGCTCCTTATATGTGTAAACTCACTCAGCTATTAAATTTGATTTAAAATGAATAAAGAACTCCCTACCCTACTGTCATGCTATTAATCCAGGGCCAAATCCCACTGAAATATGTGACAAAAACAGAAAAGTGAAAAATAAAAAGACCATAAAAACAAGGAGACAAGAGAAACTAAGTGATGGTGGTATTCGCAACATCTTGGATGTTTGTGCTATTTCCATGTCCCATGTTGTGTATTTACGAGCATCGTCTCAGACCTCTTCAACCTGCTCACCTCTCCCTAACCTCCCATACCCACCCACCCCTTCACCTCTCCCAGTCACATCTGCTCTGCTCTGGGGGATGGGTGCGTGTGTTTTCAGATTGAGAACCCCCTCCTCACTGCAATATTGTCTGTAAACTGAAGGACACGGCAGTCTGTAATTCTGCAGCCGCAGCTGCTAATAGGCCCAGACGCACATTCATCTGACACAGAGCTGACAGAATTACTGTCCATCTGAATGAAACTATATATCAGTCACAAAGAAGAGGGTCCAATCTTGTTGGCCACGCACTCATCTGGACTGGTGCAGTGGTGGGGGTCTGGGTGTACAGTGATAAAGGAGGGGGTTAAGGAAGCAAGAGGTCTCAGCGACCTCCTGCGCTTCCTCTCCAAGAGGAGTTGGACACTCAGCTGCAGCCAAAAAATCACTCTGAAAAACCCCTCAAACATGCTGAACGTAGAGAGAAGGGCTTTACTCTGTCTTCCACATGAATTCTCATTGTTTCTGTCTGTCCATGTTTGAGCGTGGGATTGGGTCAGACTGATATATCAGGTTATATACCTGTCAAGGGTTATGTTTTACCTGTAAGAGTCACATTGTATATTCACAGCCATGAATTTAAACTTTCTGGCACTATTACAAAAAATTAAAAGAGTGCATCGTTATCCTGGTTCAGATATGAAATATCAATATACTGTACGAGTCTGGTAGCTTGTCCTCCACTGCTGGCCAGTATTTTATGCCTCAAACTAAACCACCATGCTGGAATGAATTCTGAATATTTGCTACATATTTGTGTTGTTTTTTTTTTGGCAAATAGGACAACTCCTAATCTTTTTAATGCCATTTTGGATTTTTGAGAAACCTTTAAACCTAAGGTCAAACAACAAAATAGTTTTTACCTGATTTTTACCTATGTGAATTTAAAGATATCACAAAAACAGCTGGTTGAACCATCCTTATATAGTAATAATTACCAACAATACTCTTGCTTCTTACTACTTGTCCTTATTTCCTGTTGTGGCTGGTACTGTGCTTAAGGTGAATATAACATAGAAGCGGTACAGCTGAATTGTTTACATTGTGGTTCATTTGTTGTTCTGGTTACAATACAATCTATCTACCACATACAACACGTCTTCAAACCTTAATGACAGAATAGGTCACCTGCAAATGACTCTGAAAACAACATATGGTCGTCAGAAAGTACCAGCAACAGGCATTATGTTATGGATGTTGAACAGGTGATTAAAGGGACACTTCACCCATGCTAAACGGCCGTCCTCTAGTGGGTGTAATAATTTATTGGGGGATGGTAGCAGTATAAAGAACGAGAAAGATGTGTAGGTTGAACGGTCGGGTTTAACCAAGTTATTGGTGGAAATCACAAACCAAACACACGGATTTTCAAACCCAGGAGGCCCCCTGGGCGTTTGCTGTCAGTGTCAACACCAAGGTACCATGCCTCCTGACCACGAGTGTTGCAAGTTGCTCTCTGCTCGTTTATACCCCCAATTTCGCCCCGACCGGATCAAAATAAAGTATTTCTGTTTCTGAAACTTTTAGGGTTAAAGTTACCCTAACCTGAACCCTAACTAACCATAACCCCAACTTAACCGTATATGACACCATGTTAACGCCAAATCGTGCAAGCTAGCTTTGTGCCTAAAACTTAATTATCTTGCACCACACGTATTCAACACAAACGTTAAAAAACCAATTTCACCTGTGGAAACCAATTAATCTTTATTGAAAGCTGCGTTATACTATAAATTAGTCAAAATGTAACATAAAATTTTGAATTGGTGCCTTATTTACCCCCCCGAACGCAAAAGAGTGTTGTAGTCTCAACCCCCCTCTACAAAGATATTGACGACTTCCTCCTGCCTTACCAGTGATCGCAAAAAATGACCGATTTTTAACATCATGGACACAGGAAGTGCCAACACTTGAAATCCGTATTTCTCCCAGTCTCACGGGAACATAGAGAAGGGAAATGGTGCACGACCAAACTACCTCAAAAATATGACTGGGTTTCTTAACGCTTACAAAGCTTAATGC